AAGGATTAGATAAGAATCGAGGTATGTGCTGATGAGGCTCGTGCCTGTTCGAGGATCGTCAGCATGGGAAAGAAGGAAAGAGGGATCTCCTGTGTCCAAGTTTGATGTCTTGCAGACTAATCTGTCCATCCTAACCTCTTCCATCTGCAGACATGAAAGCTTTATGACAGCATTGCAGTATGTGACTGAGTCTCAAAGCAGGCACTATCTTGCTCGTCTTTTCTTCACAGTTTGATCCTGTTCCAATTTATCTGAGCCCAGCTGCGAGCGACCCGTCTGCTAGATCGATATCATTTGGATGAAGATGAGACAACTGAGCGCATTCATCCTGTTGACCCTGGCTGTCCTCGCAACAGCCAGACCAAAAAGAGGTCAGTGTGCAGATACTGTGAGAATTACTGGAAAATTATTTTAAAAAATAAATAAAGACGTTTCTCTTCCTAAACAGGATATATAAATGAGGGCATAATTTAATTTTAAGAAAATAAATGAAAGAAAAGGAAGTCTGGAAAAATGAGAGAAAAATGTTTAATGATGGGCATTTAGATGATCAAAAGAACAGGGAGCTAAAGTGGGTTTGGATCACAATAGAAACACAGAGTCACACCAAAGCCTAAATAAGAAAGCTATGATTTTAAATCAGATGCTTTCAGTGGATTGCAGAGAGTCGATAACTATAAACAATGATTTAAACAACCATTTGATAGCACAATTACACCTTTACCAGAGCCATATGTTTTTCACTTTAACCCTCTCAGGCTCAAATTAAACTTTTTGTTGCTAATGCACAACCAAGTCCTGCAGTGGTACTTCTGAGTAAAAAAAACCCTCATAAAATATGTATGTGGGGTAATCAGGTTGTTAGTTTTTAACTGTTGCAAATCGGCAACGCCTGCCTTGAGAGGGTTATGGGTAGCTTTGCATGAACAGTTCAAAATAATCCTTGGTGGTGTCCTTGTTGAACTTTTGGCTCACGGGGACGTACCCATTTACAGTCTTTGTTGTTTAAGCTTTCAACATGTTTGATATTAACATGTAAATGTGTCCTCGAAAAGGAGGAAAACATTATAATTTAAATTTAAAATGTCTAATATAAGGTGTTTGTGATGACTGAGATCATGTTAGCTAACTATGAACACACAGCGACATGCGTGTGGCTCTATTGAGTTCAAAACTGTTTTGGAGTCACAGTTTAATTTAATTGACCAAATTAGGACTAAGAAACGGCAAAGACCCAAATTTAGATAAAAAATGTAAAAAGAAGGGTTGAGCACTTTTTTAGAAATGTTATAACCTGTAAATGTTGCCACCGCAGGTCACTGAATAGGACTCTTTATACAAGCGTGTGAATTATGACTTCTGTGAAAGGCGCGAATGTTTCAGGACATATCACTGACACCTATACATTACATCTGCGGCTGACTTGATTTATGTGACCAGACAATGCAGTGGACGTGTTTATAAGGCGTTAAAAATTGGCCACTGTTGACGTCTACTTGAACCTAAAGATGGATTCCATCGGTCCCGCACGTCTGCTTATTCTGACACCGAGTCTCGTCTGTTGTGACTTTCACTTTGTCTGAAGAAATTCTGGATGGGCATTAATCAAACAGTTTCTTTCCAACTCGTAAAGCCACACCACAAACACAAGCCCACCTCATACCTCATTCATGACGGCAGCGTTTTTGAACCTAGATGATGTTACAACCTGGGAGCGCGTCTGAAAAATATAAAGACAAAAACAGGTGTCCTGTGGCAGCTGACGCCGCCGAGAAGCAGCGCTCAGGTGGTAAATAATGTGAAGGCTGTACTGATGTTTGAGGACGGCTGCTGCTGTCGTGCTTCAGAGAGAGAGTAGAATCCACACAATTTAAAAAGAAAGTGGAATAAGAGAGAAGCAGCCTTTTATCCTACTGATCAGTCACAACAGTAAAATTGTTTAGGTTTTCCTCAGAGCACCAAAACAGCTCTGATCCTTTCACACGAGACACGACACCTTCTCACCTGTGAGTCTCCTCAGTGCATTAACGTCATTCAGAGGCCACGTCTGTGTTTCATGTGTCGAAATCACACTTTACTTCTCCGGCTCCTGAAAGTGAAACACTCCACTGCCTCCCACTGAAATTCATTAAACACAGATTACAAAAATATTTAAAAAAAAAAAAAGGCTCAGCAGCTTCCTGAGCTGGACACTGCGGTGAACATCACTCAAACAGGAACGAAGCATTTGTTGGAGAATAATTTGTGTAACGACACAATAAAAATCCCCATGTTTCATGTTTTCTGGGATCTCACCAAATTTAAATTTGGAGCTTTTCAGGTCAGAGGATTACTGACTTCTTCTTGATTTTTTCCCCCATTGTTGAAACATCTAGTTTGAACAGATTCTGCTTTTCTTCTTTCTTCCAGAACCTGCGCAGAAATGTAAGACTGGTCCGGTGGATCTAGTCTTCCTCATCGACAGCTCCCGCAGCGTTAGGCCGCATGAGTTTGAGACCATGAGGAAGTTTATGATTGACATCATTAACACCCTGGATATTGGACTAAATGCCACCAGAGTGGGAGTCGTTCAGTATTCCAGTCAGGTAGAGTAACCAGACAGGACGCAGACCTCCTTTCATGTTGTACTCCTTCATCTCTGTCAGTGGCTACAATGTAGCTGCCATCACCAGTGTGTGAATGACTGAACGTGTAAAGCGCTTTGGGGTCCTTAGGGACTAAATAAAGTGCTATACAAATACAGGCCATTTACCATCTTGACAGCTAACCCTTCTCATCACTAACTGGTCTTAAGATGATGTTTTAATCTTCACTGCTTTCAGGTCCGCACTGAGTTCACTCTGAAGACTCACGCCAGGCTGAGCAACATAGTGAAAGCCATCAATCAGATCATCCCCCTCGCTCAGGGTACCATGACCGGACTCGCCATCAGATACATGATGAATGAAGCTTTTACTCCAGAGGCTGGAGACAGGCCAAAGGTACTTATTGGATGTCTTATACCCAATGGACCATTTTGTAACCGTTTCCTTTAGTTGTGCTGGTGGTTTCAGACATTTTCATTTTAAATCTTTACTTTTCTTTTTTAATTATCTGTATTTAAATCATCACAGAAATAAATATCATCACCTGTTTTGGAGAAGTTTGTTGTAGCAGAACTTTGAGCAGAACTATGCATACATACAGACATTTCTGTCGGGGTCATGGGGGCAGCAGTCTAAGCCCAGGGTTACCTCTTCCAGGTCCTCTGGGGGGGACACCAAAGCATTCGCAAGTCAGCCAAGAGATATAATCTCTCCATTGTGTCCTAGGCCTCCTAGGAGGACATGCCAAGGACACAAAAGGCATAAAGGAAATTTAAAAAGTGTAGATGAAATGCTGGAGGCTTTGTGAGGGTCTAGTGCAGTGAGGATTGGACAGCAGTCGAGAGCTGAGGCCCTGGCTGGTCAAACTCTACCTGATGAAGCTGGAAAATTAAAACAATAAAATGTTTCTGAATTTATGGGCTAAAAAAACAAAGATGGAGGGGACGTCAATAACAGCTGTCTCTGGTTGGTTCTGCCGATGGCTTCAGGTTCCAAACGTGGCCGTGATCGTGACAGACGGACGTCCTCAGGACCGCGTGGCTGAGGTGGCCGCTGAGGCGAGAGAAAAAGGCATTGAGATCTATGCTGTGGGCGTGGCCAGGGCAGATATGACATCACTGAGGGCCATGGCGTCACCGCCCTTTGAGGACCACGTCTTCCTGGTTGAGTCCTTCGATCTCATTCACCAGTTTGGCATCCAGTTCCAGGATAAGCTCTGCGGTAAGACTGCAGGACAGGAAATACAAAGTATACAAGTGACTGCTGTTACTATATGTGGTGCTTTTTATTTGTCTTATTATTTCTAACACTTGTGTTATATTCTGTAGTATATTTAGATGTTACCACTTATATAGCATACTATGTTTTTATTTCCAAACAAAATGTTAATGTACCTGAGAAGAATGACAACTATGAGTTTATTTTAAAAAAATCAGCTTTTAATCAGCAAAAAAAAAACATTTACCCTGAGCTGGAGTCAGTTAAGATGAGTTGTGTAACTAGTAAGTTTTAAGATTCGTGTGAGTGCAAAATCTTACTGGAATGTAAAAACCTTCCACTCTTTAAGGATTTGGAAGTTGTGTTTCTATAAGATCTCCATCTAAAAGATTTTGTATCACTGGATCACTTTTATTTACAGTCATCTTGATGTACGAGCAGCAAAAGACTTCAGGTAAATCTGTGGGATTAAAATTTCATGACATTGGCTTCATCTGGGCCAACATAGATTTTTTATGTAATTAAAAACACATCGTCTAGCTCGAGTTAAAAAAAACATATTACAAAATCCTTCTGACCGCACATAACCTAATACTTTTTCATAACAACCCCTGCAAATCCCTTAAGTGCTCGATATTTCCTCATGCTGCTTTTATTCAACACTGGACTTCAGCTAAAAAAAACAGTCTGGTATCCTGCAGTGGGAGATGCAAAATGCAGACGGATAAAATAAATACAAAAAGTAAATCAGTGAAATAAAATAAGCTCTCAGTGAAAATGAAGAGTCCTGCAGCTAAGAGGTGACAGCAGGGCTAAAACCACTAATCCCATCATGCTTTGCAGATGAAGCTTTTCCTTCAGGGGCACCGATAATTCCTTTCTACAGAAAAAACACAAAGTTGTTGGGAATATGATTTTGATTTTGTGATAATAAGCTGTAAGTTAAATATATTGAAGCTGGTTTTCTGAATGCTGATCTGACGCAGGCGTGGATCTGTGTCTGGAGTCAGACCACGGCTGTGAGCACATCTGTGAGAGCACTCCTGGATCCTACCACTGCCTCTGTCTGCCCGGATACACTGTGAACGATGACGGGAAGACATGCGCAGGTAATTTGCAGTTTGCTCCCACTGTACTAAACTATATACAGCTACCAGAAAAATCAAAAGGACAACTATCTTTCCCTTTTGAACTCTGTATTTTTACTTTTGTCTTTTTGTGGAGGAGATTAGCATGATCTGCAGCTGTCTGAAACAATCTGTTTTAGCTCTTTATTCTTAAAGGCTAATACAAGCCGACAATACAATAAAAATAACTCTTTTATTGGGTGAATGTCAAAATCTGAGAACAAAGTTCACAAAAGTTTCAGGGAAACACAAAGAGACTTTAACAAAGGACAGAGAACATTCAGCCCCACAGAGTGAGGAATGATGGGAAACAGGAAGGAGAGGAACACAGGTTAATAGTCAAAAACTAAAATCAACAGAATGACACCAAAACAACGAAACACACTCACAAGAAAAATAGCAAGAAACAAAAACGCAGCACCAGATCTGGGACCATGTCAGCTTTTTTCTGATTGGCTAAGCAGCAGAAGGCGGGTCCTCTGTGCTCGCAACAATGCTGTCCTCTCAGCACCCAGAAGTTAAAGTTATATTGTTACTTCGTTAGAGTTATTTGATATTATGTTTTGCACTATCCTACTGTATATTACTGTATACTAGTATTCTTATTGCATATCTTGTTCCTCTGTCTCTCTTGCAGCACTGAGCATGTGTATGACAAAAGAATTTCCCTCGGGATAAATAAAGTTCTTCTTAAATTATCTTATCTTATCTTAAAAAGTAGGAAAAAAAACTGCCTGAAACAGAGAATTTCCAGGATGTTTTTTTGGCTTACAGGGAAAACGTGAAAATATGAAGCTTTAGCACATGTGTGACAAAAAAACAGAATAAAAGAAAAGAAAAAGTCAGTTTTAGAACCAGAAATCAAACAAACACTGGAGAGTGTTTATAAAAAGTAATATCATTCGTGTGTGTGTGTAGCCATAGATCTGTGCGCTGAGAGAAAACATAACTGTGAACAAATCTGCGTCAGCTCGCCGGGCTCCTTCACCTGCGACTGCAACAAAGGATACAAACTGAACAATGACAAGAGGACCTGCTCAAGTTAGTCACACACACACACACACACACACACAACGTGCATGCAAATTCACACATCTCATATCGATCACCTTTGTGCGATTGATTGAAATGTGTTCTGCTGTCATTGATTCTGCTGCTCGGTGGTTGTGTGTTTGCATTTTGTTCCTCCGTCTCCAGTTTGTACAATTAAATCTTTTTGTAGATCTGCCTTGAAACTTTCCTCACACTGCAGGAAGTAACATACGCACATGTACGCACACCTTAACTGCACACAGTCAGCACACACGAGGCTGATTTATGAGAAGCATTTAAATGAAATTCTCTAAAGCACAAGTTAGAAATTCTGAAACAGCACAGTATGTTTACACTAGATCCTTAATTTCAATGCACTCTAGTCATGCTGCGTTTCATAAGCCAGCACATCAAGTCCCACACTCCTAGTTATCATGAGGCTGATGTTTAAGCTAGTTTATGGAACATCTGGTACGATGTGTTTCTTCTGAAAACCTTTGACAGTCGTTGTTTTTCTAAGATACACAGACTCAATCTGCTGATTTTCTCGCCTCAAATGTTTCAGAAGACTTTTCACTGGACTGTTCATCAAAGTATGAGAAAGTGAGCCAGCACGTCAGTTGTGGTTTGAAATTCTGGGACAGAAAGCGAGCACGAGCTTTTCAGCTAATCAGTTACAGCTCAGTGTTTGCATGCTTGTGGCGTGCACTAAGAGATGGAGAGCACCTGTTAGCATCACTGCCTCACGGCTCACCTGTCGACAGTATGAATACTCGCAGTACCAAACCCATGTGGAGATATACAGTTAGAAATGATCATTTCATTGTATTTGTAAATCAGCTTATTGCAATAAGACTCATTCAGGTTCATATTTGGGACAGAGCAAAGCAGGTAAAAGCCGAGACTTACCGAGAGACAAGGGGAACATAAATGCAACCCACACATTTGACTGCTGTCCTCTCTGCTGCTCATGGCCTCACTGCTTTCCTCCCCTCAGTGATCGACTACTGTTCGTTTGGGAACCACAGTTGCGATCACGAGTGTGTGAGCGTGCTCAATGGCTATCGCTGTCGCTGTAACGAGGGATACAGGCTGCTGGAGGACAGCAAGACCTGCCAGGGTAAGCAGAGCGAACATGGAAGAAAAATCATAAGCGGTTAATAACACAGCCACGATGTCCACTGCTGCTATGACGGAGGTGAGGCTCTGATTTCTTTACACGGAAACCGGCCTGACCCAACCGCTAATGCAGGATTCAGAACATTAACGTTTCCCAAATGTATCTCTGGATTTGGTTACTAGATAATCATGACATTATGTAGAGCGCTGGAAGAAATCCACAATGCTAAATGATCATTTTTGAGGTCACCACAAGATGATGAAAAACACTTTAATGATCCTTTTTAAAAAAATCGAGTCGAGACCTGAGAGACGGTGCCAGAATAAAGCAGCATGACTAATATGCAGTAGCTTTTTTTCAGTCCCCACTCAAACTTTATAGAATTACTCAAGATATAATTCAAGTGTGGAAAAATAAGCACAGGTACAGCAGAGAGCATGCAAAGGCCAAGAATGCCAATTTTTGGTGTTCTTGGGACACTTCTGCAGCAGCATGTGATTGTTAAAGAAACCCTATTCTGCTTATTTCCACCTCCATAACTTTATCTTTGAGGCTTTGCATGGTTCAAAATAATTCTTCTTATACTGAACCTCCGTGCAGGTCTTCATATTCTGTCTGAAACAAGCTGTGTTCGCTCCAGAGCTTTGCATTAGGTATATCCCCTCTGTGACATCATAGATCCAAAAGTAGAAAAAAAGCTGTCTGAAGTGTGACGTGTTCAGAGCTGTCTGACGCCTGAAACGAGAGCTTGCATCACAGCGACATGTTCATCAGGAAGCATGTCGTGTGACTTTAAGGTTACTGATGCGTCACCTTTGTGAACAAAGTTACAAACAACATAAAAATTAATGAATTGCTTTGAAGTTATTCTGACTTAAAGGATGAAACGGCAAAGAGAAAATGTCATTTAAAGTTTTAAAGAAGAAAAAGAGCTTGCTTGAAGGATATCCTCAGGAAGTTGTTACAAAACATTGACAAAGTCCCGATCGTTCTGCAGAATGAATCCATCATTGAGGTGCTTTCAGCTCCTGCTATTGATGCATTTCCATGCTCTTTAACATAAAAATAAATGGGCCCAACTTTGGAAGGACTGACATCAGAGGTTATGAGAGGAGCTACAACAAGAAAAGTACCAATGACTGGCTGATGGAGTCCTCATTTTCTTCCCATTTAAATAACGCCAACTTCTACATCTGTGGCCTGCTTCTTTGAATTTCCTGACATTAGTCGTTCTGACTTGCAGCCCCAAAGTGTTGAGTGCTGGTGTCAGCCTTTTGGCTTTGGGACCAGTTCTTTGGTAAAAACAAAAAAGAAGGCAGGAAGCGTTTACTGAGGACCTCGCGTAAGGTATCAGACTGATGCAGAGACAATAACATCAACAGCTGCAGCAGAGCACCTCTTCATCAGGAACCTTTAAAATTAAGACTATTTGTGGGTGCAAAGACTTCCTGTTCTCCTGAAGCCGTGCACATCTCCACAGCATGAATAAGACACAGTGTGACTGTAGTTCACAGCAGAAAGGAGACATTTTTAAGTAATTCACAGTCGGCTTTGAATACACAGTTTATAAGATAAGTTTGACTCACAGTCAATTAAAAATTTGCTTCAAAGATTCAAACGTCATTTAAAGGAGTCCAGATGAATAACAGGGGATTGTGTGCTTATATTTGAATAAATCCTGTAATCTCAGAGTTTGGGGTTATTGCATGATGTCTACCGTTTCCAGAAATTAATATCTGGCATTTAGTCCGTCTATCTGAGCTTTTACTGGAAACCTCTGAGAACAAAATCCAAAGCAGATGTAAGAAGTATATTTGTTTGGCTCAGACGCTGATAGATGTTAAGAACAAATCTTAATCACAATTACACACTTTCGCTCAATGTGTTGTTCAGCCATTGACCTGTGCGCTGAGGGGAAGCACGACTGTGAACAAATCTGCATCAGCGCGCCGGGCGTCTACACCTGCGACTGCAACAAAGGATACACGCTCAATGAGGACGAGAAGACCTGCACACGTTAGTCAAGCCCTCGTGCAAATACACACAGGTGTACACGCACCTGCAGAAACACACCTACAGTCAGAGAAAAGGCTGCTCTTTCTCCTGTTCGTTCTATGAGTTGTTGTTTCCAGCTCCTTTAAAGTAGGGACTGAAAACTGAGTCCATCTGGGTCTCTGCACAGTTTGCAAACACTTTTATTTAACACATGCAGAGTAAAACTAGACACTTAGAGTCACATTCACTCACTATAATGTTATAAATTGGGAATAACGTGTGTGTGTGTGTGTGTGTGTGTTACTCAGCCATTGACCTGTGTGCGGAGGGAAAGCACGACTGTGAGCAGATCTGTGTCAGCGCTCCGGGCGTTTTCACCTGTGACTGTAACAAAGGATTCAAACTCAACAAGGACAAGAAGACCTGCACAAGTCAGTGAATCTCACATGAAAACCCTGCTTGTGTTTATTACATAGTGCACCCGATAAAAATGTTTGTTTTACTGTTTGCTTCCAAGCAGTAAAAAAAAAAGGGGGGGGGGGCACTAAAAGATGTCACTGAGCTGCTGATTTGCTCTGTTAGGCCAACCAAAGGTGCTGAGTTCAGCTCTTCATTGGATATAAATTCTAGATACATTTCTTATGGAACTACTTATTATCCAAGAAAAGTTATGAGCACGCTTTAATGAGGACTGGCATGTTCATTTAGTTTGTAGAGAGATTTGTTTGTAATATCATCCTCTACATTAAATAAACAGGCAGGAACGGGCTGATGGAGCTCTGCTGCTTAATGGCCGTGGTGTCGATTCCCAGGTTGACACCATGTGTGAAGGCTGCTCGATTAATCACATTTTAATTCAGTTTTCAGTGATTATGAAAACAAAAGAGTTGTGAAAAAACATTTTTCTTATAGGTCAGCTTTAGTTTGTTTTATAAATCTTGTGCATTTGTTCCTTTTACATACTCGAGTACATACTGTTTACTTACTCGAGCCTGAACAGCATCAATTCTTCAAAAGGTTTGTGTTGGTGAACTTATGGAAGGATTAATGAGGAGGTGGTTTTCACCATAATCTAGCAGCAAAAATAAGTGTTGACCTCCCCGAGGTCAAGTCTTCCACACCTGTTCACTAAACCTTTAGTTGTTGTGCATTACTTGCGGGTGAACAGTTTTTTGCATGTGTCTCTCTCTGCTATGGTGTAATATGTGCTTTCTGTGTGTTGTCAGACATGAACATGTGTAACACAGTGGAGCACGGCTGTGAGTACCAGTGTGTGAGCACTCCAGGCTCTTATCACTGCATCTGCCCAGAGGGACAGCTGCTACAGGACGACGGCAAGAGCTGCGGCAGTAAGTCATCATCTGTGCAAATGCAAAATCCTCTGACCTGTTTCAGCAGCTCTGAGTTAGTTTAAGAAACTCAGCACTCTGTGCAGAGAGAGCTGCTTCAGGATTAAGATGCTAGCTCCTGTGTGAACCAGCAGAAATGCTGCAGGTGTGGGAAAAAAGACTCAAAAAACTTCAGAAAAAATGCTGGATTTTTATTAACCTCCTATGTGGACATCACATTTTGGGTTATTTAGAACAAAATACTCAATTTTGCTCTATAAGGGCCTGATATCCACTTACGAGGACGTTATACTGCTACTGTTCATTCAAAATTTTAAATGAATATCCTAATACGTGGCTCTTATTTTTCTTAAAAACAAAAATAATGTAAAAAATAAATAAATCTGATAAATGTTTTTACATTCATCGGGCCCCAATATGCCCAAATATCAAAGAGAAATTTAAAATGCATGCTGTGGAAGAGTTCAGGTCTCAGGAGGTTAAATCAGTCTATGACAACAAAGCTCAAAGATAAATTATTAACCTGCACTACTGAGCTTCACTATATTTGAAGCCAAAGCATAAGAAATGTATTAAAGAGGAGAATAGAGATTCAGGGCATTTCAGTGGCAGCTGGATGTTGATCAGGTGACTCTCAGTGAAAGGAAAAAACATTTAGGAGCAGAGGTTACGTCTCAGGAAAGGAAATAAAGATGTACAATGATCTCAAACTGATGTTAAAAACAGCTCAGTTATGTCTGGATGAAACGAGCTGGACAAAGATGTTGGGATTGTTTTATTCCTCATGGGAAGGCGAGCAAATACCAGCGTACCTGCCAGTAAGCTTCACATCACATTCTGAGACAGTCTCATTTACAGTGGCTTGCAAAAGTATTCGGCCCCCTTGAACTTTCCCACATTTTGTCACATTACAGCCACAAACATGAATCAATTTTATTGGAATTCCACGTGAAAGACCAACACAAAGTGGTGCACACATGAGAAGTGGAACGAAAATCAGACATGATTTGAAACACTTTTTACAACTAAATAACAGCAAAGTGGGGTGTGCGTAATTATTCAGCCCCCTGAGTCGATACTTTGTAGAACCACCTTTTGCTGCAATTCTGTTGTTAGTTTTCCGCCACACACAGCGTTTTGCATTTTGGCCAAAAAGTTGCATTTTGGTCTCATCTGACCAGAGCA